AGTCCAACTTTTCTGGGACTCTTCCCCGTACTCTAGTTCTTCCTGATTTTGATGCCAAATAGTAGATCACCTTCTTGATGTCTAGATCCCACCAAAAACTCCAAGAACTGGGCAATCTATAGCAGATCGATCAACCCTTTACTTCTTCATGCAATCGGCTGATCTAGGGCTACATGAGAATGCTTCAAGAAACCCTAGCCGATTCTCTAATACCAAGTAGAAATTTGCTGAATTAAAAAATATGAAAGAAAGTAGTTTCGTGAAGAGAAAATGAGAAGAAGAGAAGAAGAGAAGTTAAAAGAAAAGAGAGCAATAATTCTGGTCGCCTCCTTCACTTATTATTTATACTAAAATAATAGAGCAATACAAAGACAATTATGCCCTTATAGAGTGACAAAACATAAAACAACATATATAACACTTAAAAAACATAATAAAATTTGGACTCACATAATTACTGTGGTCCCCACCTACTCAAAWAAACATCATAAAACTAATTAATCTTCAACAACAACAAATCTTGCCTTGTACCTTTCTATGCTTCCATCTGCCTTATATTTTACCGTGTAAACCCATTTGCATCCAACTGTCTCCTTGCCTTTTGGTAGATCCACAATGTCCCATGTCTGATTCTTAACCAAAACTGCCGTCTTTTCCTGCATAGTTGTCTTCCACTCAGGTTTGGAGAGAGCCTCCCTAACACCCTTGGGTATAGACACCGAGTCAAGGGAGGAAAGAAAAACACGGTAGGAAGGAGAAAGTCCACTGTAGGACAAATACTGTGAAATACAATGAGCAGTACACTTTTTCTTCCATTTTCTGAGAGCAATAGGAAGATCAAGGTTATCTGTAACATGGTTAGTAGTATTAATGGGAATTGAAACAGTAGCGGGACCAAGTGGAATACCTGAATCCATGTCATCCGAATTTGGAGTCTCTAAGGAATCGACAGGAAGTGATGTGAGTTCTACTGCAATGAAATGAACCTCCTTGTGAAGTCTCTGTCGTAAGTAATGCTGAGAAATAGGACGCAAAGGAGGTGGTAAGGTAGGTGACACAGGATGGTCAAGCACAGGAGTAGACACATGATGGTCAAGCACAGGAGTAGACACAGGGACTGGAACTGGGAGAGGAATAGACTGCTAACTCACTTCCGCAAAGCACTCCCCCTGAGAAGGATTCTTTGAAAAGAAGTATGTGGATTCAAAAAAAGTGACATTCATGATAACATACTAGCTCCCAGAGACTAGATCATAATAGCAGTACCCTTTCTGATTTTCTGCATATCCAAGGAATACACACTTCTTTGCCTTGGGATCAAGCTTTGAGCGGTGAGGACCAATGACATGTGCAAAGTAAACACACCCAAACACCCTGAGAGGAATATGAAACATCTCCCCCTTAGGAAAAAGGAGACTGAATGGAGTGTTGAATCCAAATATACGAGATGGCACTCTGTTAATCAGATATATTGCTGTGAGAACTACATCACCCCAAAACGAACTGGAACTGTAGATGTACTCATCATGCTTCTTGCAATCTCAACAATGTGTCTATTCTTCCTTTCTGCAACATCATTCTGCCGTGGACTGTAGGGAGATAAATAGAATCACTAATCTTGACAGATCCTTTCCCAGTAATAGGAACATGGGATCCATCAGCTGTGGAGACCCTATCTCTGCTAGAACAGAGCTGGTAAGAAGAAAAAATAGTAGAGCTATGGGTTATGTGCACTAAGGCTCTAGAATCTATAATCCAACGAGGTCCCTCCTTACCTAAAGTAGAAACATAATTTGTAGTGATGTGTGAATTACCTGTGTGAGCAAAAACAGTATAGTGGACTCTACCAGTGCCACCTGTACATTGTTGTTCACTTGCTGCTGAACTGGAACTGGCTATATCCCGCTGGTTCAAAAGTTGCCCATACCTCTCAAGTTCGGCCCTTACTGTAGCAGCTACAACAGACTCTAGAGCAGTTGTAGTAGGAGGGGCCGAATTGTCACCAGTAACTGCCATGTGTGCATTCCCTTTTATTTTTCAGTCTAGTCGGCACAAGATGTGGGTGAAGCTTCCAGCAAGTATCTCTTGTGTGTTTAGGCTTTTTACAGTAGTCACAGTTCAAATCTTTTTTATCTTCCTTCTTGATTTCACTGCCACCTCAATCTCCACTTTGTTTAGTTTTCACAGTACTTACCATGGCAGACTGATCAGAGACAGGATTTTTCATCATCACATCTCTTCTGCTCTCCTCCCCTGACACAAAGGTATATGCCTGGGAGAGGGTAACATTGTCTCTGGAAAGAAGATGCTATCTTGCAATATCATACTCAGGATTAAGGCCAACAAGAAATTCAAACACCCTATACTTCTCTAGATATTTCTGATAGGTAGCTGCATCCTTAGTGGTTTCCCAAGCAAATGTCTCTAAATGGTCAATCTCCTGCCATAGGGTTTTAAGGGCTGAAAAATAGGCTGCAACAGGTCTATCTCCCTGCCTTGTAGAAATAATCTGATTTCTCAACTGATAAGCCATAGCAACATTCTCCCTTTGTGAATAGATTTCTGCAATCCCATCCCATATTTCCTTAGCTGTATTTGACCATAAAAAATTTTTACCTATATGGGGCAACATGGAATTACACAACCAAGTCATTACCATATAATTCTTCTGTACCCACTGGGAGTTGCTAGTTTCAGGTTTCGCTTCCTCACCAGTGATATACCCTAATTTCCCACGAGCGCCAATGGCCATCTTTGCAAATTGTGACCATTCTAAGTAATTTGCACCATCCAACCTAACTGTAGTAATGGTCCCAGTCCCGAAAAGGTCTCCAACACCTCCCACTGGTCTCATTTCACTCCCACGCTTATTTTCAATTCCGTGACCCTCCATGCTTCTAAAAAAATGTAAAGAAAATAACTGAAATATGTAACAAGATCAAACGAAACACTTCTGGAACCAACAACACCTTTCTGGTGTCTTGGACCATCTTCCCACAAAAGATTCATTTTCTGTGGGATGGGAGAAGAGAGAGAAGAGGCAGCCGCTCTCTCTAGAAGCCTCCAAATCAGGCAGGACTTGAATCGCCCCTTATAGAAAACTCCAAGGAACCCTAAAAAAATTAGGGTGCTACTTCCTAGGTCAAAATTGAAGAGTCCAATAAAAACAAGACTTCTCCTTTCTCTAGTTTTTTCTGATTTTGATGAGAAACCCTAGACTAGCTACAGGGCACACAGATCCACAAAAAAATCCAAAAACTGGGCTTACCTGAGTGCTTCGATCAGCCTCTTAAATCACCATGCAGTCGGCCGATCTAGGGCTGCATGAGTAAACAACTCAAGGAACCATCGATCTGCTCTGATACCAAGTAGAAATCACTGATTGTAGATTTAGTTGAATTTCTTGTGAAAGGAAAAGGGGAGGAAGATAAAGATTTCAGTAGTAGACAAGAAAAGAGGAGAAAAGAGTAGAAAATCAACCAGGATTTTTGAATTAACCCTAGCCGCCAACCCCTCATTATATTTATACTTAACTTAAAKGATGAAATATTACAAGGATGCCCTTAGTAGGGTGGCTAATAATGTAGTTGAATAGTCACAACTTAAAAATATAAACTAATGGGCCTAAAGCCCAACAACTTCTTAACTAAATAGCTTAAAATAAGAATAAAAAACAAATTGGCCCAACTCAACATTCATGACACTAGCAACCGTGTTTGTACTTACACTCTTCAAGGTCAAACTGAGAGTTTACCAATTACTCTAGTTCTAAACTTCTGATAATTGCTCTCATTGGATTGGACCTGGATGCTTTATTGCTTTTTGTTAAAAATAGCCTCATTTCAGGTCTTCCAAATGATCCACAAATGAGCAACAACCAACCCGCCTTAAGAGAGGCCCCCTCCCTTCCAGWGTGGCTTGAAAGAAAGCAAGCCACCTTGTTTTTTGGCAATGAATGGAATCAATAGATCGGCAGCACAGTAGAGTGATTCTGACTGAAACTCCTGCTTGATCTGTTTTGAGGCCCCCAGCTCTAGGTTAGGAGGCCGTTTGGGTCCGCTATCCCGATCATGATTTTCCTACTCCTAGAGGTAAAGGAAAGGTCCTTCCCTTTTTGGCCGATCGTGGGCGAGGAAGGATTCGAACCCCCGACACCGTGGTTCRTAGCCACGTGCTCTAATCCTCTGAGTTACAGGCCCCATCCTGTCTCCACTAGATCTGTTCCCGAGAGTACCCTCAAAAAGGAACCTTTCCTCAGCCATTTTGGGTTAAGATGTGAAAGCCGCCCGAAAGTTATCGCTTTTTTACTCAAAAGGAGTAGCACTTTTATTAATAAGGAGAATGGAAACTGGTATTTGCGGCCACCATTATTCCTTTTTTCTTCTCTCTGGAATGTTGTTTGTATAGTTCCTCCGGCCAACTGACCAACCATTGAGAAGGGAACAAATAGGGGAGATTGAATTCTTCTCTCTTGTCTTTCAACCCGCCTCGGCTTCGCCTTCCATATCAATAGAAAAATGCGCATCAGCCAAGGTCTTTTTGAACCAAGAGAATCCACTCATTGGGAACCGCAAAGAAAGTGGACCTCCAACCAAATTATCTCGTCATTTCGCAATTTAGAAGACATTCTAGAGAATCAACGTCTTGATTAAAAATTTAAAGGAGTTATGTATAGAAATTAATGCCAGAGGGAATCTATAAAAAAATTAGAATTTATACATCCATGGATCTTTAAACCTCGAAGACACTGTATTGTGGTACTGGTATATAAAATCTTGACCAAGAGAAAACAGCCAAACTTCTCTTAGAAGAGAAAATTGGAGTCTAATCTCTAAGAATGTCGGCCCAGAATATATATTAATGGGTTCGACTATGATATGGAAAAGATAAGATATCTGAAAAACTTCTGACTAGTCAACTGAAATCATAAACGTGATAGTCAATTAGGTGCTATTTATCAAAATTCATGAGTGGGTTTTGATTGATCAAAACTCTTCCCATACCATATCTACATCATAGATTTTCCCTATATTAATAGAGAATAAGTGCAAAGTACAATAATGGCATGTTTATGATAATTACTCGATTACCCTGCTTCCCAAGAATTAACATAAAACATCTCTCTCAACAAAATATAAATAAAAAGAAAAAGGAGGAAACAAACAGACAAACACACCAAATCTCACTGCAAATCTGATTTTACAATTTTTTGAAAAAAAATACAAAATCATTGGGAGAGTCATGCCACCCTTTCCCTGCTATAATATGTAGTGTAGATTTTATCAAGTCTCAAGAGATGAGAATGACAAGAGTCGCAATACCCAATCTATTTCTCTCTTCTTTTTTATTTCCATCAGGTGTGTAGGATGTGGAACAACAAGAAGAAAAATTAAAAGAATCTTTTCCAAATGGTCTCCATCATTTCAAATCTCTTTTCCTCATAGATTTGTTTTTGGTTTGCTCCCTGCAGAAACACGCCTTGTTACAGAACGCATTGTCACGAACTCTTCAGCTGCAGAAGGGTGAATTCCAACCTGTACAAGCAAGGAAATAAATTAAAAAGGTTATCAAATTAAAGTATACATTTTCAATGTTAAGTTTCAACTATAAATAAAAAGAAAGAATTAAAAAGAGAGAAAAAGATAGATAGCAAACGAGATAAAGAGAGACAATGTTACACAGCTACACTAATTCTATTTCCCCCATTTACCAAAAAAAGAAAATTCTATTTTCCCTTCTTTGGTTGGATGGATTTTAGTAGTAAAAGTCTCTTCGCGTTGAAGGAAGATTTTAAAAATAATATGTTTAACTAACCTATATGAGAGCTGCAGTGCATTCATCAACTACTAGATCCAAGAACCAAAAAGCTTAGGTGTTGCATAGTAGGAAATAACAAAACTTTGTTGAGATAGCGTCTCATTAGAGGCAGGCCATGGCCAACAAGAATTTATTTGCCTACCAGACCATAACCAACCACCTCCTGTTGCCCACACTTGAGTTTCAACAGAAGGCCTTAGAGATTGTTGAACTTCTTGAAAATACTGAGTTTCAACAACTTTCTTAATCTTCTCTCAGAAAAGCTGTCTGTGTAACTCTGACAAGCTCAGGGCTGTAAAGGGTCAGATTTGGATCATCACCATCATCATCATCTAAGCCTAATCCCAACCATATGGGGTTGGCTACATGTATCCTGTTTTGCCATTCCGTTCTAGAAAAAAACCAAAATGTTATATTTTATTAATAAAATGAATTAGAAGTGGCTTAGATATTATATATTATTATAAAATGAATTAAATAACACCCACAAGACATGAAGTCATGAGCCTTTAGTGAAAATACTATATTCAAACTCACTTAACTGCAGGCTCTCTGTGGTAAGGTCAGTAGACCTCACATGCTCCCTACTCTGCCCCCAGCCCTTAACTGCCTTGTAATGTGAATATGCAATGTAAAATACCAAGAAAGAAAAAATTCTCTTCATTATCTCAGAAAGCATAACAATGAGTGCATGTCATGAAATCTGGATCAAGAAAAAGTTAAAATGAAGCTAATTATCTATATATGTCTATCAGTGGGTGTGTTAGGGACTCAAAGCAGGCTGAAGGTATATTCTAGAAAGAAGAGGAAGAAGCCATCTCAGCTACTGAGACAGCTAAGCACAACTAATCAAGAAACAGTTGGCAACTAATCAAGATTCAGTTACATGTAACCAATCAAGAAACAAGTGGCTAATTAGCTGTAATAAGGTCACATGACTATTACAAGCAGAGGAGCAATATAAAAAGAGATGGCTGTAGTCTGAAATGGATAAGATAATAACATTTCCTCAACCAAATTCTTTGTTCCCTCTCTCCTCCCTTTCCCTTGTCTAATCTGATTCAGGAGGTAGCTTCACCCTCGAAGGGAAGCCTGTGTTGGGCAGTATCCCAACAGGGTGTACAAATTTATAATATTAAATCAGAATAGTACTGCAGAGAATATTTCTTTCCCCTTCTGTGTAAGCATAGAGAATATTTAGAGTATGTGAACTTTATGATGTAACTAACATCAAGAACTGTTAGGGCTACCTATTATCTCTTGAAAATAAATTTGCTTACCGTGCTGTCAAATTGTGCCTTGGTTGCTCCACACTTCAGTGCAATAGAAATGCCCTGTAAAGAAATCCCAGAATGATATTAAGAGTTTCACAAATTAAAAGTAAAACAAGGAAAGTTGAATGAAAGAACAAACTTTTTTTTTCTCCATAACATAGAGAAAGATATATATTAGTAACCCAGGCAAATTGCATTCTTGCCACACTAAAAAGAAACAATTTTACAACAGATATAAACAGATGGATATGAACCCTAAAATTAATCCAAGATCTGGAAGCATTTTAAGTGCTGTAATAACCTGAAAACATCCAAATGGGAAACTCTAGGAGAATCCATAAACTGTCTGACAATACTAACATTCAAAATATATATATATATATATATATATTGAAAGAAGCATTGTCGACATTCAAAGATATATTTGGATGAGTAATAATTAGACAATTCAATTTAGGACCAAACATCCCTCATCTCCTCAAGTAAATCAAGTTATTCCAGATTAAAGTAACTTGATGGCTTTCTATTTAGCACCCTAACAGAACTCAACTGTATGTCTTTCATGACCACTATGGGAACATATACGGATGACATAAAAGTCCCAGTGTATGATGGTATGGTCCTCAAGGCTGTGGTTGGTACAAAATCTGGGATTTGTGGTCCGACCATTACCACAACCTCCCCATGTATTACCAAAGCTATGACCACTCCCATGAAATGCACCACAATTGCAGAGTGGATCTGCTACCACAAGACACTACAGCTACACATCTCAAACATTTTTCAGATCCTTTGTGTGAGGTTGGCAATTGGCATAAAACTTTTGCCAAACTCTTATGGTAGATCCTGAATTGTCTTCTCATACTAATGCTAGGGTGTTCCTAGAAGTGACATGCTACACTTTAACCTGAGTGTGGTGTCATATGGGCCAAAGGTACATAATAGAGGCCATCGCTTGGTGTAGTGGAAAAATCTCGGGCTGGTAAGCGTGAGAATGCTCAATGCAGGTTCAATTCTGAGGACAACCACTTTGGGTAATGGCCTTTTCTATATACGATGAAACAGAACGGAATGGCAAAACAGGTTTCATGTATCTGACCCCATACAAGATTTAAAATATCGATACACCCTGATACAGAAGAAGGGGTGTATCAACTTTGAACCTTCCAGTTTTACTTTTTTTCTGTTTTTTTTTTTTCAAAAATTCATAGAATTGTATTATTTTATATACTTTGTTTATTAAAAAACAAGGTTTCTCAAAACTCCCTTTCAATAGGTGTATCGGGAGTCAAAAGATACGATACAATACACCTGATACGGGACATATTGCATGGAAATTTTGAACCTTGACCTCATATAGTTGGGATAAGTCTTAGACGATGATGATGATCCAACCACCACAACCACAACTTCTGACCATAAGGAGGGCAGAAAAAGTTAGTTATTTGATCAGACTCTGACTCTCTATCAGAGCTGGATTCTGATCTAAGCAATCACAGATATCAAAATGAGAGAAAATATCAATTGCAAGTTACACAAGTTGCTTTTATACCATGTAACATAACTTATGATCAGTTGGTAATAAACAGAAAAAGAAAAAGAAGATAGCAGAACAATGTTAGGAGAGAGAGAGAGAGCAATGGACACAACTACCCCTACTTGAGTAAATTAGAGTAGATGGACAGAAATATCCTTCTGTCTACTCTACTCTTAATATAAACCTATTTCTAACAAACATAAACAAGGACAGTTGGCCCATACTGACACTCTCAAGTTCAACAAATACAAAAATGATCACTATCCTTTCTACTGCAGTTTCCAATAACCATAATCATCAACAGCAACAGGATAAGAAACTTATGCCAATAATTTGAGGTTGGGTATATAAATTTTATTCCCTTTATTTAGTCTTTATCTTCCACTAATTTGCATCTCCAAACCTTTTTAATGGCAATTTGAACAAGATATGCAGAAGTAACAAAATATCCTTGTTAATCTCAATTACAATTACATTTTCAGAGGAAAACACATGCCTTTAAGGTTCTCCACTTGACTATTCAAGGCTTAATAAAAAAAGACCTGTTTATAAAACAATTCTAGCCTGACAATTAAGTCGCTTCCATGTGAAGGGATAGAAAGAAAAATCATGATGGTAAGTTCATGTTTGAGTGGAAACAATGTTTATGGGAAAACTAGCATAACTTTGGAATTAGTTGTTAAACATTTATAGAATAGAGATACATACCTGAATAATTTCAGGAGCATCAGGCCCACACATGGATGCCCCTAGAACCTTATCTGTCTCGGCATCAACAACAAGCTTCATCACTGTCTTTTCTTGCCTCCTGTAGAGTTATCAGAAGATAGGCAAAATCAAGATTCCAAGGCACTACATGCTATATGAGAAGCAGGCTTTGCTTATATTCTTTTTTCTTTTAAGAGATAAGATTCCCTAAAATTTGAAAGCAGGAAATTGCAATCATGCATGATGATTCTGGAGAAAAAATAATATACAATTTCAGATGTGATGTATGAAAGACAATATCAAATCAGATCTTTAGTAGGGTTAAGAAACATGTTAAGAGGAGCAAATCAAGCTGTGGAGTAGTTAGCAGAATTAGGTCAATTAGATAACCGTGACTTTGTTTCTTCTGTTCCTTGGGTTCTGAATTATATTTGTCTGTTAAATTCCTGGGGACATGCTACAACTGTTGTGTAGCCACTCTATTTCCAAAACAAACACACAAAAAAAGTATCTGCAATAGAACTGTAGAATAAGGAGAAAATGATGTTAAACTGTTTTGTATGCCCTTAGCTTCAATCAGTTTGATGTACTAATGACATTTATTGTAAATGAATAAAGTGCATATTTGATTCATGTTATGTGGTGTGTTTCTGTGTAATACCCTTTAAAACCGGACACTTATGAGACTTGTGTTGGTTTAGAACGTTCACAGCCAGTGGGTCGGTCTGGGGAGACCTACTCTGATAAGGCTGACACTGATGTGCCGCTAAGTCGGTTGGGGTGGCCTGTCTCTGCCACCAAGGTGAGCCTCGAGGTACATGCARTGTGGGATCAGCTTGAGACCTAGAACCGRACTAGAATTCCAGTATTGCCCTGGACCTTAGCGATTAGTGGGCAAAACTAGAATGTTACACCTGACCCCTAGACTCGATTATGGTACCGCACTAGGTGGCGGATTGGGNTATTGCCCTGGACCTTAGCGATTAGTGGGCAAAACTAGAATGTTACACCTGACCCCTAGACTCGATTATGGTACCGCACTAGGTGGCGGATTGGGTCATCTTTGATATGCCAATCAGTGAGACCCTTAGAGGGGGTCAAAAACTGGGTATGTTGAAACGGTTCATGAACCCATCTGAGTGGGTGATCATAGTGACAGGATCAGTCCCTTTGTCAGACAAAGGTAACGATCGGGGAAATGCACTATCTCTGATGGAAACCAAAACTGCCGGCAGTTGATTTCAATCGTTGAAATTTTGTTTTGCAAATTATATTTATGCGATATAACATATATATTACAGGTTTCCAAAATTGTTTGCAAAAGGTTTTAATCCCCGGGGTCCATGTAAGAGGAGAGTGTAGCATTGTACTTTGCAGTCAGGGGAGAGGTCCTCCTTTGTCGGGCAGTGTTTGATCATTATGGGCTGAGAGGTTAAGTDTAAGACCTTTGAGGGTTAAACCTGATGGGCTAATCTTGCATTTGCCCACAGTCCTTGGGTGTTATAAGGTGGCTTGGCCCAAGGACCACTTAGTGTAAGTGTTGGGCCCATAGAGTCCATATGATGGGCTCAAGGGGTTCACTGGGCTTTCTAGTGAATTTGGCTAGGCCTTGTGACAGAGACTGGGCTGAACCCTTGTAACTGATTTGTAGATCAACGTTTGGGTCCCACGCCATACAGAGAAAGCCCAACTAGGCAGCAATTTGGAAGGCTTAAGTGAGCACATGCACTTAATGGGCCAAAAGCCCAATAATACGAGCTGGGCTAATTAGATTAGCTTGAATGGGGCGAATTTGAGATATGGACCAGCCTTAAAGGATAAGGGAAAGTCCCTATCCACTCAGTAAGAGTCCAGATTTGAATATGGAAACTCCTAATCAAATTAGGAGGGCTAATCATGATCTGTAGATTAGATAATGACTCTACCTTATCACCTAAGGGGATCAACATCTCCTAATAGGATTAGGAGCTGATCCCTTTAGGATTATAAAAGGAGGAGGGGCGGTAGTCTCTAAAGACACTCATTTGAGATACAAATACAACATAGAAGAGAGAAATCAGCATACAGTGAGACTGTGCCAATTTCTCCCTGCCGCCGCCACCTTTAGCAGTTCATCTCCACTCACGTGGGAGTCATCAAGAAGCGTTCTTGATTTCAGTTCTTTGTGAAAGAATTGAAAAGAAGTTGTGCTCACCTGCCGTCCAGTGGGTTTTTGCGAAAGATCTAG